AAAATTGCCTATTTGGAAATATTATGAGATTTGTAGTGAAGATAATAAACTTGCTGTGTGTTTGCTGTGTAACAACAAGATCTCACGTGGCGGAGAAGGAAAGAAAGCAAGTAAGTAAAATCTTATTACATATTAATTAAGTGAAACAATTTGTCATATTTAGTATTTAGCGCTTGTAATTTTTTATTTCTTGTTTTTTTTTGCCCGGTACTTTATTTCACACGTGGTATTTCATTGATAAACTTGATATAAATAAGTCTTACTTTTAAATATAGTCTACATTTTATTTATTATCTTTGAAATTCAGAGGCTTAAGTGATGCCAGAATAATACAAGTTTAAGTTAGTAGTGTTTGGGAATTCCCTTCTTTGATGTCAGATTTTTCATTGCTTAATTATTGTGTTCGTTTTTTTATGTTTACAGCTACAACTTCTTTGACACCTTAAAAGCAAACATGCCGAGCAGTACGCTATGTTAACTGTTGTTCCCTCAGCAAGTGGCAGCAAAAATGATGGTACTCTTACTTCTACCGATTCCAAGATACTGGTAGTACCAGGTACATCAGAAAAGAAACAGTTAACTCTGAAGGAAACAACTGAAAGGAAATTGTTATGGGATATTAATGATCTGAAATCTATAAAATATCATTATTTAATCGGTGAAATGATTGCCTTAGACAACGAACCATTATCACTTGTTGAACGAGTCGGCTTTAAAAGGCTTATGGAAAAGGCAGTACCTCAATACAATATACCTGGTCGCACTTACATGACCGAGAAAATTATTCCTGATATATATAATAGAATTTGCTATAAAATTGAATCTAGTATTTCACGAGCAACAGCAGTATCAGTGACATCTGATATGTGGACATGTCAGCACAATAACCAGAGTTTCTTGAGTTTCACTGCGCATTGGATATCTCCAGAGTTTATTCTTGAACATGGTGTTTTAGCAATGAAGCCATTTTCTGGCTCACATACTGGTACCAATATCGCAAAAGAACTCAATGCTATTGCAGAAAGATGGAATATTCCTCATAGCAAGATCCATTTACTTGTCCATGACAGTGGAGCCAATATGATAAAAGGTGTACGAGACGCAGAATATGATTCTGCCAATTGTTTTATTCATTCACTGCAACGAGCTGTCAAGGAATCGCTAAAGTCTCAAACGGAAATAACACAGATGGTAGTTGCTGCGAGACGAATTGTTACCCATTTTAACCACTCTGGTATAGCACAAGAAAAGCTGAAATGCATTCGCCAAGAACTTAACTTGCCAAACCACCAACTAGTACAGGATGTAAGCACACGCTGGAATTCTACATATTATTTAATGGAGCGATTATTAGAACAAAAGCGAGCTGTTTCTTTGTACATAACTGATCACGAGTCTTTAAACAATTTAACACCTTCTCAGTGGGAGCTAATGGAACAATGTATCAAACTTCTCAAACCGTTTGAAGAGATTACGAAAATAACCAGCTCAGGTATTTCCTGCATCTCTGAAGTGATTCCACATGTTGTCACATTGTTGAAATACCTGGGAAAGGAAGAGACTGCAGATAGAACACCAAATTTATTGAGAATGAGATCTTCACTACAAGTTGAGCTTGAAACACGGTTCAACTTTGATGAGAATGACAAATATCTGGTTGCCACTTTTCTTGACCCGCGTTTCAAAACCAGTTTCCTGGGATTAGTTCAAACGCAAAGAGCAAAACAAAAAATTCTTTTAGAAGCTCTGAAAATTAGTCATGACGAGTCTACTAGTACGGATGATGATTCTTCTCCATTTCGTAAGAAAAGAAATATCAATGAAAATGATAAAACCATTGAAATACACGACAGTTTCTGGAACTGTTTTGACGAAGTCGCTACAGAAAATATGCAAAATGATGAGGATGTGGAGGAGAAAAGTGCTATTGCAAATGAGATTGATTTTTATATGAAAACTGTTTGCCTAGATTGGACGGCAGACCTTTACAAGTGGTGGTCAGCAAACGCAAAACAGTACCCAAGCCTGACAGAATTTGCTAAGATTTATCTATCGTCTCCCGGCAGTAGTGTATATAGTGAGAGGCTATTTTCAGAAGCAGGTATAGTTTATGAGGAAAAGCGCAATCGTTTGCTATCAACAAATGCTGAAAAAATTGTTTTCATTAATCACAACTTACCACTGATAGATTTTAAGTATTAAATGTAATAATTTGTGATTAAAATAAATACATTTTTGAGTAATATGTGCGTTTTTTTTTTCATGATTTGGTATTCGGTATTTGGCCGAATAGTATGTAACATTCGGCCGAATACCGAATAGTAGCCGAATATTCGTGGCATCACTAATATTAACTGTTCTTTTAACCTGAAGAAGATGAAAATATTTTCGTTGAAAGCACTTGTTGTTTGTAGCGATAGATGTTGGTTATTAACGTCTAGATGATAATTTTTTCAACTTTGCTTATCCAATATTCGGCGTGAAGTCCAATAATATTTTTTCATTTATAACATTTTTCATATTTTCTGTCATTTTTTTATAATGTTTAATATTTATAATAAAAATTGAATGATAATTTTGTGTTTTAGCTTTAACCTCCCCTGTATTCTGATTGTTTCATATTGTGATTTTATATATATGGCCATTCTGGTTTAGGAGTGAAAAATTAATAATTGCTTATCCTTTGTCAATTCATTAAGGTTATTATTAATGGATTCAGTATTCTCAATATATTTTATAGACATACTTCATATCTGAATTTATATTTCTTTCAAATTATTGGATCCAGAAGGACTTTTAGAAATACTATAACATATATAAATTCTTTTTAATAATTAGTGATTTATTATTATTCAAATATACAATTGTTACAAAAAAAATTGAAGAACCTTAAAGCCAGCTTGCATGTGAATTTTTTATTTTTCACTACAACATTACAGCACAAGGATACATCATTAAACAACAACTTCATCATAAATGTTGCAAATCAGCAAATGTTAATTCAAAACAAGTAATGTTAGTGATGGCTGAACAAGTAATGTATAGCATTTGTGATGATACTACTCTTTAATGAAGTATCCTTGTGCTGTGATATTGTAATGAATTATTTATTTTTTCACTACCATTCCATATGTAGAATTTGATTATTATTGCATGCTGGCTTTCAGATGCATTGATTATTTTGCAACAGAATGTATATCATTATTTAATAGACATAATTTTTGAAACTGTTACATTTTTAACAAAAAAAGTTTCAATGGAAAAATACGCTATACTCAATGACAAAAGTAACGCACCAAGAACTTGTGTTGGAATCCAATGAAACTTTATTAGTGTAAACATAATGATAGTGGTAATAAGTAATTACAATATCATTTGCAAAAAGATAATTTCCTCTAAATAAACTGTAAAATTTAAAGGAATCTTTAGTATCTGTGTAACCTCCTCTTGTTTGGATACATGTAGCAATACAGACTTTATAAGCTATCTTACAACAGATTTCCCTACAGATGTTGCAACTGCTGTTCAATATCTCTCATATATAGATGGCTAAAGATGATATCTCATCTGATCCTATAAATGTTCAAAGAGCAACAAATCTTCAGATATTATGGAGACATTTCTGTAAAGCCTTAGCTATATGCAGCTGAACATTATCTTGCTAAAAAATGGCTTTGTAACTTTCAATGAAAGGCAACAGACAAAAGTGCAGAATTTCCCAAATGTATTGCTTTGCCATCATTATTCTTGTACCATTACAAGAGATGACTGATTCTCATACCAAATGGCAAAGATACTATGGTAGCTTGTCTCAGACAGTCATCTATCATAGTGGTTTGTCTGGGGCATCTGGAACCTGCTGCTAAATATACTCTCCTGTATTCACAGCACTCAACACCTCAAAATCAGGTCAGATTGGCCCAGCAATCAAGCAATTTAGCAAAATGATCATCCTGCTTCCCTCAGCCCACCGATGTGGCCTTTCTCAAACTTTGTCAGCTGTACAAAATGCATTTGACCGTGCCATATATGAATGATGGCATTTGAAGACCTCCAAGCACTAATTACCCTGAAAATTCTGAACACTGATACTCTGTGAACCTTTTAATATGATTCTGGAGTAGTAATTCTAAGGCAGTCGGATGTCATTACCTGATATACAGTCAGACCACAACAGGTAATCATTTACAAACCTGTCTCAGATATACAGGGTGTCCCAAAAAATGTACTCACCTTTTATCAATCCAATAGAAGAAATCAGTTTAAGAAGACTAATGTTTTCTATAGTGCCATAAATTCTCTTTCATTTAACTTATTAGACTATGCATTATCTATGTCAATAAACATCTAAATCAAAACTTTAGTAATGGTCAGTCAAAGACCGAATAAGTTTTTTGGGACACTCTGTAATTGAATGCCAAGTTTTGCAGTAATTTGATAATTTTTTCTGGGTGCATAACTTTTATGCCAATGAGAGTATAATTAAATTTTAAAATAAAAGCAAAATATATTATTATAAATTATATTATGTAGTTTAAAAAATTATTAAATTTTATAAATATCTTAAATTCAAATGAAAAAAAGCAATGCATACTGTAAATTTTATACAAGCTGAAAGTAACATTCAAGCACAAGTTTTTTCAATTAAAATTTCATGCATACAAACAAATACATAATTAATTTTAAAATAAAGTAACAGAGTCTAGCAGACATCCAAACATCATAAAAGCACAAACAAGCATATAATATATATATATATATATATAAAATAAAAATATACACNTATTAATAAATGTCTGCCTTTTTATTTTTAGTTGTACTAAATGTATTATTTAAATGAATTAATTGTAAATTATTTAAATGAAAAAATTTGTTTGATTTTCAATATGTAGTTTTAAAATATTTAATTTTGAAATACTTATTGACTTATTTACATATAAAGTGATTAAAAATAATTAAACTAAATAATTTTAAAAGTTAATGCTTTTTTCGACACTTACAAGAGGAGTATCATTGCCACCCACAATATTAAGGCCCAATCCTGTCTTCTCTTTATTTATTTCTATTGTTGTTTCTTGACCTGGTTTGATTTCACACGTCTTAGGATCAGCAGGAGGTTCAACAGGTTCTTCTGGTAATGTAGATGTGCCATCCAGGAGAGAAGAAGAAGGCAATGTTGGCAATTTAGGAAAATGGGATGTCCGTGATGAAGTGTAATGGGAAAAATGAGAAGACAATGAAAATGTGTGTGATTTTGTTCCACCAGATGTTCGAGTTCGGCAGTTTATAATTGATGATTTAACAGGAAAATGACCAAATTTGGATGTTGCATTCCCTATGCAACAGAAAAATAATCAACATATTTTTTCTCCTTCCACATATACATTTTATACCCAGATAGATATAAATAATAAACCATGCACATTGCAACATTTACAATACAAACTATATTTCACCACTGTAATGCTAACATATCATTATACACTATAAATAAACAAAAATTAATTATACAATTATAACACTGAAGGGATTAAATGAACGTGCTGGAGATAAGAGGAATGAAAAACAGATCATAGTATCAGGGCAAATTACATATATTAAATGTACAAACATTACAGTCTAAGTTTAGATAATTATTAAATAGACAGATAGACAGAAAAACAGAAAAGAGTAAATATCATGAAAAGATTTAAACAAAAATATTTCAAAAATTCAAACACAACATTTAATTCTAAGCATATAACATTAAAAGATATTGCATGTTCAAGATTAAGATATTTATAATTAAATAAAGATTTTAAAAATACAAATATAATAATTTATTAATATCTCTGTAAATTTTTAAAATTAAGTTAAAACATCAAAACTTATTCAAAATTTTTAATCTTTTCTGTTTATTGCAAGTTATATCCATCCAAAGTTTGAATTCAAATAAAAGTTGGAAATCAAGCAATGTCCACTTTATGAAATATTAAAATAATTATTTCATGATTTCTTAAACAATAATAGAATTGGATAATTTTCTGTAGAAGACTTGAAAATTTATTTGCTTTTAAACATTTTTGGAGCTCTTTCTGCTTGTAGAAGATCTGAGGATGGCAAAATAAAGACTTGAAAATGTCAGTTTTAAGATACACATTAATTATATCAGGTCAGTCCATAAGTTCGTGCGCATTTTTATCTACAAAAAAAGCAACAAAAAATTTTAATTAAATCTTATTTCAATCTATAATGTATTCACCATTATTTTGTACAATTTCTTGCCATCTTGATGGTAGCTTTTTAATCCCGTCTTTGTAAAATGATTTCGGTTTTGAATCAAAATATTCAGAAATAGCCTTTTTTACATTGTTCTCATCCTCAAAAGTTTTTCCTTTTAAAAAATTCTGCAAACTCCGAAAAAGATGATAATCACTGGGAGCAATATCTGGCAAATATGGTGGATGAGGTAAAATTTCCCAGTTGAAGCTTTTGAGTTGAGCAGTTGACGTTGTTGTCAGTTAGCTATTGACAGTTCATGTGGTATCCATTTTCCTAGCTTTGAAACTTTTCCGATTTGTTGTAGATGTCTATGAACAGTTCCATGGGATGAATTTAAACGTTCCGCAATTTCATCAACTGTTAAAGATGGTTCTGCTTCAACTAGTGCAGAGAGAGCATCATCATCAAAGTCAACGGGTCTTCCAGTACGAGCCTTATCCTCCACACTAAAATCATTATTTCTAAATCTTTCAAACCACTTCTGCGCAGTCCTTACACTAATTACAGTTTGATTATGAACAGTATTTAATTTTTTGGCTGCATTTGTAGCATTCTCATCACTTAAAAATAAAAAGTATAAAACATGTCTCTTATATTCATCTGTTACTTCCATTTTAACGAAAATAAACAACTGAAATGTTCCCAATTCTGAACAGTATTATATGAATGAGATCCAATTTAACACTTCAGTGTAAAAAGTATCACATTAGACTGGCATTTTTAACAGCAAAACAAGATTTTTCTCAAAGTCATAAAATACGCAGGAACTTATGGACTGACCTGATATATAATTTACATACAATAAATTCTTAAATTTTACTGTAAATTATTGTAAAATCAAGTTAAAAATAACAATTAAAAACACTAAACCTCTAAACCTATAAAGCAAATTTTTATAACAAGTGCAAATGTTTCGCCCATGTTGAACAGGCATCATCAAGCAAACTAATCATTAAATGCTGAAACAAACAGGGACTGTCAAACATGTATGCAGAGGGGAGGTGACATAAGATTAAAGAAATAGGGAATAGTAAGATTTATAGTTCAAAGAAAGACTTCCATGCTGTGGAGGAGTCAACATCACAAAAATTAATATTAACAGTAGTGGTGTTTTTGTGGGTGGCCAATTTCCTCCTTCTTCTGCAATGCTAAAGACTGTCTGGACATGTACCTTCAACCAGGCATCTACACTATTCCTGTCATCAATCATAGATCCAGCTGCCACTTAGAATACATGGGTGTTACAAACATGCCCTTTAAACACCCACCTCAAGGATCATCAGACGTCCATTACAAAAGGATTAGGGCTACCTACACCTCCAATCTCGACATCAATGTGGAATTCCTCAAAGCATGCCTCTTATATAACTCTTCTAGGCAATCCTTTCTCAAACACCTTGAACAGGTGGAAATATATATATAAGGCCACCTGCAAAAAAACTGCTATTAATTTTCGTGATGTTAACTCCTTCACCACAATGTGGAAGTCTTTCTTTCAACTATAAATCTTACTATCCTCCCCTCCCTGTTTCTCTCATCTTATGTCAGCTCCCCTCTGCACACATGTTTGACAATCCTGTTTGTTTCAGCATTTGGTGATTAGTTTGCCTGATGATGCTGTTCAACATGGGTGAAAACGTTTGTACTTGTTATAAAAATATGCTGGTTTATAGGTTTAATGTTTTTAATTGTAAATTAAAAATATTACAATTATCTTTACATGATATCATTTATCAATATTAAACAGTTGTTAACCCAGTAGTAAGATATATTGAGATGTTTTTAATCCTAAAAAAACCTTTTATTACAAGAACAAATATTTTTGGTAATTTCAGTTTTATTCATGTTCTACTTTTCTAATATAAAAATAAATATGAAAAGTTTTGAATTTGATTTATGTAGAACCTGAAGAAGGTAATTGAAATTGCTAAAAAGTATTCTCAGGATAAAAAGAAATAAATTTACTTAATTATCTAAGGAAATATAATCCATTTATATCAAACCAGCACTGGCTTATAAATTTGAAATGTTAGATTATGCAAAAATGTTTTTTTTTTTTATATTTAATAATCTCTTAATTCCTAAAAAACTAAATTTTACTTAGTAATTCACAATAATTTTTTTAACTGAGCCTTTTTATTAAAAATTCTCTATTAACCAAAAACTTAATTGATTCAAATCTTTTCATTTTGCCAACACACAACTTTTCTATGTAAATTGCTGCAATATGACATCAATACTAATTTCTAATAACAGTACTGTTAATCAAACAAATTCTCTTACTGTTTCTAGTGAGATGCATTACTGCTGAGTAAACTATGAATTTGGAAACAATTATTCTAAAAATATCAAATATTAAAATGAATAATGACAATACTAATATATATTAAATCATTTAAATTTTTTTTGGTAATAGTAAATGAATATTACCAAATTGGAATAAAAACCTAGACATGAGCTCCATCAGGTTAATAGAACAGATTTGCCTTCTATAATATTTGCTTAACTTAATTACTACCTAAGATTTGTTAGCTTTAGTTACAAGATAGTCACTGGTTTTAAACACCCAGTATCTCTCCCTGCTTGTAAACATATTGCTTACAAAGTTTAATCAATTCCCTTCAGTCTAATAACTTTTTCTTTTACTTGGACCATATGGTTTCCAATGTGTGATGTCTGATTCCTTTGATACCCTTGCTCACATGCCATCATTCTTGTTTGTCCCTATGTGTTAAGAAATGTTTTACTTGCACTGTAAAGAATTCATACATTTTCCAAGATTTGTAAATTCATAAATTTTTATGCATAGTTCTCTAAATTTGTAAGGAATTTATGTTTTTAAAGAATTTATATACTTTAAAATTTTAAAAATTTTAATGTATATAATTTTTTTAAAATTTAAAAGAATGCAGATCTTAACCATTTACTATTTTTAGCAATCATTCAAAAATTGTTTGATCTGATTTTCTTCTGTAAAAGACATCATTCATTTTTTGAATTTTTTTCAGTTGAAGCTGTTCTCAAGGTAGAATGAAAATGTTTCTCAATAAAATGAATGTTTGGTATCCTGAAATAAGCATTTGTTTTCACTTTATCAGTATGTTTATGTTTCTTTGTAAGAAAGTTTTAATTAATTTTAATTTTTCTTTTGTTTTATCAAAGTCACAACCATCTTTATTTTCTATTAGCTATCAACTTTCCATTTTTGTTTACACCAACAGAAGTAAAATAATTTTAGCTTTTTCAATTAGAAAATTTTTCTCCATTTTCTGAATCTTTTATGCTACAGAAACAAAAAATATTTTTGATTTGTTTTTTCTGCATTATTTTTCCAGAAATGGAACTAGAGTTTTACAATTTAAAAGTAACATTATTTTGACATGTCAATTCATCAAATTAATTAGCCAGGCAAATCAGTAAAATCAGCTAGACAGAATGGCCTTCGTAACGGGCCTGGGAAGAACACCAAATTAAGTCATATGCAAGTAATTGTAGATGAATAAAAATATATAATTACATCCTAACAATTAACCTTTATGACATTAATGCACAATTATTATATTGTTCTGTTTTTTCTAAAATTATTCAATTAATCATCATTATAGTCTACAGTATTATCTGTCTTTACGCCAAGATATTTGATCACTGAAAAAATTTAAAATTTTATAAAAGCATGTAAATGATTTTAAATTTTTTAAAAAGTTGGGTATATATTTTATACAAGTATTTTTAAAGATTTTTAATTTATTTTTTACAAATACAAAATAATTTAATAGTTAAATCAGTAACACTATGTTCTGTTTTTCAATCACACTAATATTAATATATTACTATGTAAAATCAAATAAACGGTTATGATTATATTAATAAATACTCTACTTTTACTCTAATTTTAAAAAATAGTATATATTTAAATATAACAATATAAAATTATTTAATTATATTTATAAATAAGGATCATTATAAAATTATAAAGTCTTAACTCATTTTTATTATTTTGTAACTTGATTGTTTTTTATCAATAAAATTATCAAAACCAATAGTTTAATACTTTCAGTTACTAATAATATTAAA